CAGCGGAAGCGTGACCCCCTAGCGTAAGGGCTTTAAAATGCTCGACCTTTCTGTCATGCAGTCGTCGCTTTGTTTTGCCGATATAAAAAGCGTCACAATCCCAGCAGCTGGCTTTGTATACGACTTAAGATTTTTGCGAGCGATTTAAACGGTCTTTTTAAGGAAAAAAGGACTTGACTCGGCAAGTGATCTGAAAAATCAACCCAAGATTGACGAAACCAAAAAATTTATTAACACAAGATTTTGAAGACGGCGTTTAAAAACTTCGCTTCGGAAACCTAAATAAGGAAGCATAAGGATTACATCTCTCTTGGGAACCGTGGTAACAGTTTCGGAAGGTCTGTTCCTATGCTTGTTTAAGACATCATTCATATTGAAGGAAACTATGCCTTTCGGGTAACCATTTAGAAGCAGTGTTTTCTTTAGATCAGAGAGAGCAGCCTGTAATGAAGAAAATGTTGAACAGATGCGAAAACAGCGATAAGTGAAGGTGCGGATCAGATTGATTTTGTATTTTCTTGGTGTGAAAGAATCCCACTTGGTGTAAAGACCTGTGAAGGTCTTTACACCAAGCGACGACTGCATGACAGAAAGGTCGAGCATTTTAAAGCCCTTACGCTAGGGGGTCACGCTTCCGCTGTTGCTGATCACGCAATCTCCACCAGCCATAACATCAAATGGGACCATTTCGAGGTCTTAGCTAGTNCTTGGGAACCGTGGTAACAGTTTCGGAAGGTCTGTTCCTATGCTTGTTTAAGACATCATTCATATTGAAGGAAATTATGCCTTTCGGGTAACCATTTAAAAGCAGTGTTTTCTTTAGATCAGAGAGAGCAGCCTGTAATGAAGAAAATGTTGAAAAGATCATGTGCGAAAACAGCGATAAGTGAGGGTGCGGATCAGATTGATTTGTACTTTCTTGGTGTGAAAGAATCCCACTTGGTGTAAAGACCTGTGAAGGTCTTTTTTCGGTGTACTGTTGTAGAAAAGGCATTTTGATGGCGTTTGATGAGGACATCTAAGAATGGGATCTCTTGGTTTTCTTCGAGTTTTACAGTAAATTTGATATTGGGATGCCTGTTGGTGAGGTAATTTCTCTTCAAAGTAAGTAGTATTAAACTTCTCGCCTTAGCAAAATCACGCGCAGATTAAATTGTTATTTAAAGCTTGAGGCTGGTTGCCCTAGACCTTAGTAGAATTCTAGCATTCTACTGAGGCCGAATCGACTATCACCCCATAGGAATCGCGAGCTCATAATCCAGTTGCCAATTATTATACATCTCGTCAAAAAGTAACTTTATTTCTTTATTTAGGTCAGAGTCACTAATTAGTTCGAGGAAATAGGCTACTTCTCGACCAAAAATCTCTTTTAGTTAATAAAAAACGCAAATAAATAAATGCTTTTCTCAAGTCGCACCGCAAAAGAGTAACTTCACCATACACTTCTTGGATTACGCATTTCAAATCCCTGCTGCGCTTCGTTCATTTAACAGCTTACCTCGGGAGTAAACGAGTCCTCATCCCACCCGCTAGCTACAGTGGGCTGGCGGGAGGCTCCGCCCAGCTTCTCAGACACCAGGGAGTCTTCATCAGCAGCGGAAGACTTGCTCTGTCTTGTACTGCCTCTAGTTTGCTGAGTAGTCTGGTAGTTTACATTGAAAAAACAAAATAAGCTCAACATAACAGCGAGGGACACGCATTAATTTGCGAAAAATCGAAGATTTGAGTATTGTGAATTCACATACCTTTTTGTTTGGTGGCATGTTCTGAGATGTTTTGCTTTTAGACGAAGGTGGAGCAAAACTATCGACAGACCAGTCATCATTCTCCCAATCACCATAGTCGCTCCCACTTTCCGCTCCGTCTGCATCGCCCAGGAGACTTGCGGGACGTCTGAGAGACTGGGAACCGAGAAATGGAAGTTAAACACAAACCAACTTTTTCTCAAGCGTTTAGTTTATATATCAGAATATGAAACAGTTCTCTAAGAATAAAGTCTTACCGACTCTTTCTTTTCAGTTTGAAATGCTGTAATTTCTTCTTTTGCTGCTAAGAGATCGCTTTTCAGTTCCTCCATATCAGGTTCCTTTGAAGAAGTGAACAAAATAGGACATGAGCCAAGTACGAAATGAACCTCTTTTCTGGGCGCACGTGGCTTAGGCCGGGAAAATAGAAAGAGGACAGGGTCTTCTCTCTTATTCTCCCTTTTCTATGAAAGCCTGGAGGAAGCTGAAGCGCACTGTAACAATAACACACGGCTTTTTTTCCTAAAACTCTAGCAGCATTACACAAAACGCTTCCAATTACAATTGCCCAATCATAAATAGCACTCGCTAGGTACACTATGTAACTGCTTAAAAGAACCATCCCTCGTGTAGACCTGA